AGTGAATCTTCCTATATTTTCAGTAGATGGTTGTACGGGAATGATATTATGGAATCTTTAATTTTCTACTTTGTATATTTCTGAATTGTTTGAATGGTTTGTAAGAGCAGGCATATAAGCATTTACTAAAATCAATAAAAATATTTCCACTTTAAAAATAAAACAAACAAAAAACAAGGCAGCATGACAAGATGAAGATTGTATGATTCCACCTGTACAAGGCCCCTAGAGCAGTCAAATTCATACGGACAGAAAGCAAAATGGTGGCTGCTATGGGCTGGAGGCAGGAGCAGAAGAGAGTTAGTGTTTCATAGGCACAGAGTCTCGGTTTTGCAAAGTAAGAGTTCTGTTAATGGATCATGGTACAGGATGGGCACCACAGTGAATATCCTTAACACTACTGAACTGCACTTAAACACGGTTACTATGGCAGATTTCATGTTATGTATGTGTATTTTACCACAGTTAAGAAAAAAATGTAAAAAGACTGGCAAAGTCCCATCTCTGTTACCCAAGGAGCGGCTTTGCTGGTGGAGCCACTGAAAGCCCAGAGAGGTCCTGAGGACTCTCAGGACCCACAGAGGTCAACTTCCATCTCTTGATATGACTACTCTGGCCACAACCTTGAGCTCCTCCAATGCTCTGACACACTGATTTTTCAAATAACAGCAATAATTCATCAACTCGCCTGGGATGATGTACATTCTAATCTGATTAATATCTGGTAAATGAAGTGCTTTTCAGGGAAATGACAGGTATGACCTCCCAACAGTCTTTGACTTCACAAATTCAAGGATTTTATCAATTGTCCTCTGGGTTCTGTATTCCAGAAATCACAGCAAGACAGACAATGAAAGGACAGGAAGGGAAGAATCAGAAGGCCTTCAAAAGAAGGTTTAGGGAAGGGGAAAATGTGCTGCTGGTTACCTAGGAAATAAGGGCAGAACTACACATAATTGGTTGCCTTTGGAACACAGTTTCAAGGAACAAATAACCCCTGACAATGACAGTGTATGCTGACAATTTGGGGGCCGCTCCTCCCTTGTTTCCTTGGTATCTTCTACTAAACAGCAAAAGATTGAATTCTGAATGGTTTCTGGGAAGTTGTTTAGTGGATTTGTTCTCATCCACCTTCTGTCTTCCTCCTTATTCTAGTTAAACCTGCTTGAAAAGCTAGCAGCCCACGTCTCTGCGCCAGCCAAGCCTGCTCCTCCCTCTCTTCCCACTATGTTGCGCACACAGACACACCCACCCTCACTCACCTCACTTATTAGTTGTAGAAACAAACAGTGAAATGGGGCCTGCAGAACTCACTGGGGCCTATGCACAGTGTCCACTCACCCAGGATCAAATCCCCTTTCAGTTCCTCACCCTGCCCTCCATCTTGGCCAGGGCTCATGTGTCACGGGGTCAAGTGCCATGAGCTAAATGTCGCAGAATGGATGTTCTCACTGTGACAACCTGATGTCTGGGCATGAGGAAGCCCCTCTATAGGTAGAGAAGCGCAGAGAGGGTGACGCTTTGCTCAGAGTCACACAGCTACTCAGAGGCAGGGGCACAGGGGATTTAGACCCCAACTTCCCAACATTCAGTCCCTGGCTCACACACTCAGAACACTGCTAGGCTTTGCAAGATGAGCCAGAAATAAGGCCAGGGTTCATGTCACTCTAGTAGACTTCAAAAGAAAAGGCAAAACTGGGGGCCCAAACTCCAAGGGATCCCATCCCTCAATCCCAGCTGACCCAGCAGGTTCAAAGTCAATCCTGTTGCCGGCATCCCATGCCCTTGCTGGAATTCCAAAAAAAGAGCAGGCTTTGAAGGTCAGGCTATGCAGTAAATGCCCACTTGTTCCATAGGCAAGAAACAAAAGTCAAGCCCTACTGTGCAAATGAGGAGCTCGAGTGATTCACTCTCTTGTCTCAGGTCCGCTTATTAAGTTACTGCTCTAAGTAAATCCAAAAAGAGACAGCTGTCCTTTCATACTGAAGGGTGAGCTAAGAAATGAGCATGTGTCCTGGGATGTTTGGCTTCGTGGGCAGAGGGAACATTTCTTTGGCTAGAGAGACTAAGACATCTCTCTTCTTCCTTTTAATATTCAATTTCTGTTAATTTAGGGCCCTGTGATTTCTTGGTTTGAAAATGAGTCATGCATTACTTGGAGCCTGAGGTAAAGCAAATTCTTTGCCAACTGGGGATAGGAGTAGATGGATAGGGGTGCACACTCATTTCATATAACTTCCTCATCTGGGCTTACATGTGGAGGAGGTGTGAGTTCTGGGTGCTGCATTTGAGAAAAACATAGTAATTCGACATTCAAATACGGTCGGGGCAAGCTGTGCCTTGTGACCACATGCCCTTTTTACTCCTGTATTTACTACTAGAATGGGGGTGGCAGAGATGAGGGATTGGCACCAGCACTTTGATACTAAGAGTCACCTGTGTCTGTCTGCTATAACTCAACTACCTCCTAGATCCAGAGATGATGCAAAAAGCTTGCTATGGAAAAAACAATGTGGAAGAGAAAAAAGCCACATAACCACCTTGACCCAGGAAGAGAGAAAGCCCCAAGACATGTGGGGAGTATCCAGAGCACAGCAGAGCCTTTTGGTGGTGGGGGATCCTGCTGTTTCTGCTGGCCCAGCACCCATGCCCCATGCCTCTGACACCTGCCCCTCAGAGTTCACTGAAGGAGCCACTATACAGTAGATGCATGACCCAGGCCTGGCCCACTGGACCACAGCAACCCTCTGCACTGCTGTCCTTTGGTTTGCTATGAGAGTGAGGGAATGTGCCTGACATCCTTTCAAGCTACAGCAACTAACAACTGCAGGGCTTTGTTCAAAGCCAGACTCAGATGAAGCACACCATCTGCACCTTCAAATATGATAACTGAGATCACAGATACAACTCAGAAAGTTCTAGAATACAAGTGCTATTGCCCAGCAGAGCGAGTCTGTGAAAGCTGTTTATTTATGGTGAGCTGAGTGGGAAGACAACAGGCCCATCATATTTTGAAATGATGAATATGTTCAAGAAATTAGGAAGGCACCACAATGGCTGAGGGTCACTGACAGCCACATTTGCTCAAGCTCTGAAGTCAGCACCAGCTGCTCAAGCAAAGCCTCTGGAGAAATTCCTGGGTCCTGTTTGGCATAATCTTGCTTGAAAACCCTGCTTCTGGAGGCTGGTGAAAGGTTCTCCCCTTGCCTCCGCACAGGGTAGCAGGGCTTGGCACCAGGGAGCACCATCCAGCCTCAGCAGCAACAGCAGCCTGGCTGAGCTGGCTTGCAGCCCCCCCTGCTCCAGGACTGGACTGCCAGGCTGACTAATTGATTATGCTTTGGGGACCAAGCCTGTCCTGTCCATTCCACTGTTAGTCACAGCTGAGGCATGGCTAGAGTCCTTAAAAGGACTGGAACAAAAGCAGCAGCATCTTTCCAAGACAAAATTGATAAGAACACAGTGTCCAAAATGAGATGAAGATGTCCATTTTTCCTTAACGTGGGTATACCATAGCTAAACCTAGGGTTTAAGCAGATGACTTCCTTCCAAGATAACACAAAAAACAAAAATGACCTAAATAAGCAAACATACATGACTTACCTTGTGTTTGTCCCTCAACCTCCCCACCAAAGTGATATTTGTTGGCAAAAGTTTCTCAGGCCAAAGAAGAATTCCTAAACTAAAATGCTTACTGTGCACTTTGTTGTTGTTTTTTTCTGCTACCGGGGGTTGAACTTGGGACCTTGAGCTTGCAAGGCAGGTGCCAGAACCACTGAGCTAAATCTCCGGCCCTACACTTTGAAAAGAAAAGCAGTCTAGAGATCTCAGCCTTAGAAACAGGTCTGAGTGGCATCAGGCACCAGGGCGATATATTTTGGTTACACTTACTGACACGCAATTGTTGCATTCATGGACAACTGCAAAGAAAATCACAGGGCCAGTGAGATGTGGGACAGTGTGCTCTGCATCACTGCTTCAGGGAGTGGCTCCGTGTTGCAGCTCTAGATGCCCTGGACTAGGAGTTCACATAGTCCTGGCTCATGGGACTGGGGAGAGCTGGCTTCAGAGTGGCCGATGCCGGCCTAGGGCCCAGGGGGCTGGATGGCATAGTGTGCCCCATGCTGGGCTGCTGAGGAGAGGCTACATTCATTCCAAGAGGTGTGGCTAGACCTTCCCTACCAGAAAGAGCCCCACTACCAGCAAGCAGAGTCCCCATCCTCACTCCTCCCACCCCAGTGTCTGGGGCTGTAGCCAGAGGCCCCATCTGCGGTGGCTCTGAGCCTGGACCATGACATGAGCAACTGGCTAATTCAAGCATGTCTAATCCCAGAGCAAATGCTCTCCAGTTCAAGGTTTACCATTTATACAAGGGGGTAAAGAAAGCAAGGTGAATCATTCCTGGCCCAGGCAAAGGAGGCAGGGAGGGCTCTGCTTACCAAGTATATTATGCACCACACATAAGTGTACCTCACTCCAAACAAATGGGACTTCTCAAAGCTCCCCATGGAAGAATCTGGCGGATTATATGACTCCTAAAACCTATAATCTATTAAAGCATATAATTTCATTAACCATGGGCCCCGCTTTCTTTCCACAGTACACTGGACCCAAATCATAATCCCAAGTTACTGGGAATAAGGATGACAGCAATAATGATGAAGATGATGGTAGTAACAATAGTGACAGTAGTAAGAGCAACAAATACAGCATTTACCATGGGCCAGATACTGTTCTGAGCAGGCTAGATATACTTGCACTCGATTCCCTAATAACACTACCAAGTGGGTACTACTTGTGAAGCCTTGCTTCAGGTCATGCATCCAACAAGGGGGGGGGACCTGTCCTGGATCTGCTATGACAGCCCACAGCTACCTCTGAATGGCTGGACTGTCCAGAATGAGGTACACTGGTGGGCATCAGGAATGCACAGAAGTAGGACAGAGGACAGGAGGGCAGCCTTGCTGGCTGGTGAGGGTGTGGTTCCAGGGTACACTCACCTTCACTCTCCCCACTCGTCTTCATGCCTTTTGAACCACCCTCTGTACCTTTAGCCTTCTCGGTGTCTTCCTGGGCATCCTCGGCAGGCCCTTTCTCCTCATCTTCTTCCTCCCCAACGTTTTTGTAGTTGGGTCTCTTTTGCACCCGCCTCTTGCCCTTGTGCTTGTTCATCTCAAGGGACCGCTCGAGCGTCTCGGTGGGTTTAATGAAGCACCGAATGCTGGGCTTGGCCTAAGAAGTCCAAGAAAGGCAACAGATGAATGGGAATGCTAGAATCTCACTAGATACCAACAAGCTGCCCAACAGTTTCTGCCAAGGAAATTCATCTTCAAAACAAAATGCTGGTTTAGAGTTAAGACTATTACTAACATCATTATCATAAAATAACCAAAACAGTAACACCAGCTACCATTTATTGCTAAGTCAGAAGTACTATATTTTACTGTACCAGCTCTTTGATCCCCAAATACCAGTTGTTCACATAGGAAAAATGTTTCCAGATGACGCTTTTACATACTTTGTATGTGCCACCTGCTGTTCCATGGGCTTTAGCCATATTATCTCCTTTAAACTCTATAGCAACCCCACAAGATAGCCCTGCTCTTGGCCTCAATATTTAGATAAGGAAGCCAAAGCTCAGAGGTACTAATCATCTGTCTGATGTTGGACAGCCAGGAGTTGGCAGGGCTGGGGCTTAAACCCACACATCATCTGTACAATCTGTATCTCAACTACAGCACATTGATATTATTACTAACTCTTAAATTCATTTTAAAAGAAATTGCATATCACTACAAGAAAAAGAATGCCAGGGTGCCTTGCTATTATAAAAATAAATAACAGAAAAGAAGAGGCAAGATGTTCTGGACATAGCTACCTGCTGGGTGTTATGACTTAGATCTAAAATGTCCCCCAAAATTCTCATGTGTTCAAAGGTGGGGGCTTTTGAAAGGTGGTTGGATCATGGGAACACACTATGTTCATCGGCAGATTAATCTAGATTGATGAGTTTATAGTTAAATGTTCTATTAGAAGGCGGGGTCTGGTTGGAGGTGGGTCACTGGGGGCATGACCTATAAGGGTGTATTCTTGTCATTGGCTCCTCCTTTCTCTGCTTCCCAGCTGCCATGGAGTGAGCAGCTGTCTGCATCAGGGCCCTCCATGATACTGTTTCTGCCTTGGAGCCAAATGACCATGGACTAAACCCAGTGGAACTGTGAGCCAAAATAAACCTTTCTTCTTTTAAGTTACAACTGTTGGGTGTTTTGTTCCAGTTAGTCTCCTCAGAAGGTGATCCTGGTGAGCAACAGGGATGGGCCAAAGATCAGCTTGTTCCACACAAAAAAGTTTCCCCCTAGAAAAGGCCTCAGAGAAATGAAAATGGCCCCTGTCACCTGTAGCTTACATCTCATATTCCTGGATCTCAGTCTAACAACCATGATAAACAGGAATTATCAATCCATTTCAGATTCAAGAAAACAAAGGCCCAGAAGAGTTGAGGGACTTGCTGAATGTAAGTCAGCTAGTAAGTTGCAGAGCAAGCATGTGAACTCCAAAGAGCAAGCTCCTTCTAAAATAACAGTGTTTCACCAGACACTTAGACTAAGTTCCATATTTAGCAGTCTTTAAAAAGTATACACATACTAGGGCCGGGGATTTAGCTTAGTGGTTCCGCCACCTGCCTCACAAGCGCAAGGTCCTATATTCGATCCCTGGTACCAAAAAAAAAAAAGTATACACATACTGCCAGGTGTAGTGGCATGTGGCTAGTCCCAGCTCTTCAGGAGGCCAAGGCACAAGAACTGTTTTGAGTCCAGAAATGTGAGACCAGCCTGGGCAATATAGTGAGACCTATCCAAAAAAAAAAAAAGTATACACATGCAAATGGACCATGTCTAGAAAGGAGCAAAGACAAAAGGAAATTGATTTGTTTGGGGTCAGGGTTTGATTGAAACATTTGTCTCTTTCCAGACTCTGGATAATGTTCAGACATCATTTTGTCATTAAAAAAAAACTTTTAGAATAAACTTTTCCATTATCTTGATATGGATTATCTATCTCATGAATCTGCCCTAAAGAACCACTGTTTGTATTCTGGGGGCCACTGTACTTTGCCAATAAGTGGTATGTGCTCAAGGAACCCATTAATTTCAATAATGCTCAGAACAAAATGCAATTGAGTCCTAAATTAGCATCCAATCCAAACATTCATTTTTATTTACCTGTTTTGGATTATTCAACCACAACAATGACAGATAAATTGAGACATTAAACTACAGTGCAGGAAACCCAGATAGTGTATTAGAGATGCCAACAACCCTGAGCTTGGGGATAAGGACATTCCAGCCTAGGCTGCTTGACAGACAGCATCCATCAGAACCCACTCAGGGTGCTGTACAACTGAACACAGCCAGCAAGTCAGGGCCCCAAGATGAGGTGACTCACTTCCTCCCATCACTGCCTATCCCCAGTGAATTAGAGCATGCCACACAGTGATTGAAGCTCTCAGACACAGAAAACCAAGACCAACACAGCAAAACATTGCCTAGTCAGAAGCTGTGAGCAGAAATCCACACAGGTAGAGGCAGAAACCCTTCCCTAAGCTCTTCATGGACTCAGATGTTCAGAGCACCTGGCAGAGTGGAGGGAAGTGAAACAGAAGGCTCAGGGTGTGGGCCATCAAAGAGCAGCTGCCTCCTTGGGCTCTGTGTCTCAAGATGGAGCATATCATTCTGGCTGCCTCAGACCAAATGCAATCATGGAATCTGAGCATAGTGGCATGCATCTACAGTCCCCGTATAAGGGAAACTAAGGCTGGAGGGTCACTTGAGCCCAGGAGTTCCCAATAGGCCTAGGCAACATAGAGACACCCCCCATCCCATGGAAGGAAGGAGGGAGGGAGGAAGAGATTATGTTCCTTCAGGGCTGGATTGTAGTTCAGCACTTACCTAGCATGAACAAGGCCCCAGGTTTGATCCCTAGTGCAAGAAAAGGAAAAAGAAGAGAGAAGAGAGAAGAAAAGAGAAAAAGGAAAAAGAAAGGAAGGAAGGTGGGAGGGAGAGATCAAGAGAGACTATCGAGTTCGATCCCCAGTACTAAAACAAAACAAAACAAAACAAAAGAGAGCCTTCCTTCAGAGCATGATGAAAGAGTGAGCATCCAACATTTGACAGTTATCTTCCTGTCTGCCTGCTTCCCAAAAGAAAAACCCAAAGGGAAAAAAAAAATCAACGATAAAAATGAATTTGAGTCAAGTGTGGTGGTGCATGCATGTAATCCTAGCACTCAGGAAGCTGAGGCAGGAGGATCACTGTGAGTTCAAGGCTAGCCTGGCCAACATAGCAAGACCTTGTCTCAAAGAACAAACAAGGTCAGGCAGGCATGATGGTGCACACCTGTAATCTCAGCACTTGGGAGGCTGAGTTTGAGGCCAGCTTGGACTACATAGTGAGTTCAAGGCAAGCTTGAACTATGAAGTGAGACCCTGTCTCAAAAACAAACAAACAAACAACCCATACAAACAAATGAATAAAGTTAAGAACTTTCCAAAGGTATCTGCTTTTCTTGACCACCAGGTGTCTGGGTCGAAGAGTGAAGGCGTGCCTACTGGAGAAATTCCAACCTTTAAAATGCAACCAACCCCACACCGCACCGAGGTCCCGAGTCGTTGAGTTGGGCGGAAGACGCCGAATCACCCTACTGCAGACAGGCAGGTCTGTGCACGCCCTACCGAGGTCCCGAGTCATGCGGAAGACGCCGAATCACCCTGCTGCAGAGAGACAGGTCTGTGCATGCCCTACTGAGGTCCCGAGTCACCCAGAAGATGCTGAATCACTCCGCTGCAGACAGGCAGGTCTGTGCACGCCCTACCGAGGTCCCGAGTTCCGCAGAAGATGCCGAATCAGCCCGCTGCAGACAGACAGGTCTGTGCACGCCCTACCGAGGTCTCGAGTCATGCGGAAGATGCTGAATCAACCCGCTGCAGACAGGCAGGTCTGCACATGCCCTACCGAGGTCCCGAGTCCTGCAGAACATGCTGAATCAGCCCGTGCCCCGGCAACAATCCACTGGACCCCGCCCCCCCGCTCCTCTCTACAGCCACCTGGTTCCACACTACAAAGACACAGAGGACACCGGACCACCAGACCACAGTACTGAGTCCTGCTGCTCCCGGCCCAGAGGTAGGAGCTTCTGAGCCACCATCCCACTGCTCCTGGTCCAGAGGAAGGGGCTTCCTGGTCACCATCCCTCCGGCTGCTCCCAGCCCAGAGGAAAGGGCTTTTGGGCCACCTTCTGTCGCACTGCTCCTGACCCAGAGGAATGGGCTTCTGGGCCACCATCCCTCCCACTGCTCCCGGCCCAGACGTAGGAGCTTCTGAGCCGCCATCCCACTGCTCCTGGTCCAGAGGAAGGGGCTTCCTGGCCACCATCCCTCCCGCTGCTCCCAGCCCACAGGAAAGGGTTTTTGGGTCACCATCCTTACTGCTGTTCCTGGCCCCTGTCCCACCTCTCCCAGCTCAGAGGAGGTAATCTGTGCAGGTGCTAACAGCCCCCTGCCACTGTCAAAATGAGAAAACATGTAAATAAGTCTCA